CCAAAGAAATGCTCTAGTAATGAATTCATACCTGATGTTGTCTTATCTTGAACATAAACCGCTCTAGCAGGTGAGTTCTGCACTATAAGTTACCAAGGTGATATATTCCAAGTTGAAACACAATCCTACCAGTGAAAACCCAGGGTTTTAACCCTGTAGTTCTCAGTAAGAACTCAGTAAGCCCCCTAATCCCACTTTATGGTAAAGGCCACAATTTTTTTTAATATAAACAGTAAGGTTCATTTTATTCTAAGGTGCAGAAATACTCACTCTTCCCCTGCTGAGGAAAACTCATGGAGGACCCGTTAGTATAAAGAGAATCCCCTGAGGAGAGTTTCAGTCCTGAGTTTGCTGAAGAGTGAGTGCCATAGTTGAAATGATTATTTGAATCCATCTGAAAAACATCAAAAATAAATAAATAGTTAATTTATTAAATGTATTCATTCAGTCTGATACCTAATGTTAAAATACAGTATGACGTATGGAAGCGGTGCAGGTACTGAGCACGGGTTAAATGTGTGAGAATCTGCATGACCAAATGGCTCTCAAACATATTATTTAATTCATTTTCGCTTCTTTTCGTGCACTTTTGAAGGCAGTCGACGCTACGTAATGCGTGCTATTTCTTCCACGAAATGTCTTTCCTCGATGATTCTGGCAGCTGCGGCTTGTGACAGGCAGCACCATTTCGCTCCAACAACAACCGTCAAAATGTCGCAGCCAGCAACAGCAGATGCCAGGCCCTAGCGAGTGTAATGGACAAACGGGATATTACGATAGAAGCTCATCATTACCGCTGATGAGGCACTGCTGCTGCTAACACGAGCTCAGGCTCTTCAGGTCTACAGTGATAAATACGGCCCAGACACAAACAGTCTGAAGACCCGGCGGCCTTAGCTCAATAACAATGGGAGTGATAATATTTCACACCGTGAGGCCTGGATAATTGTTTTCTACGCCACTCTCCGTTTAAAGGCTCTCTGCAATGCATAAATAGCCCTCAGGACACTTGATTTCCTATTTCAGTAAGGCCGTTGCAATAGCAGGCGTTAGCTTGTCGCGCTAGCTGCGCTCTCAAACGAACAAACCCCCATTTCTACCACTTGCGAGTCAACTGAGCTAACCATTGATAACGTTGGATACAAGTTCAACTCTTCAAGAAGCCATTCAGACAGTTTATTTTAACGTGAAATTTCGTGCGAAAACCCACCCCGCTCCAGTTCCAAGGTTATTTAGCTAAATCATCACAAAAGAGCCTAGCTAACATACGCTAGCCACGTAGCTAACTTAATAGCATCATTTACGTTTATCCAGAGTAAGCGCTGCGATGTTAGCTCATAGCCGGGTAGCAGGTACCATAACCACGCTACGTTGGATCCATGATGCCCATCAGCGATAGAGAGCTCCGCGAACGAAATAAATATCCACCGGTCTGCCGGTAATGACCAACATCAACCCCCTCATCAGGCTCGCTAGTTAACAGATGGAGGCGTGCTCCCCTTTTGTTCACGGGCTAACGTTAGCTAGCAGCCAGATGAAGTTACATTGTTTACGCTGCGAGCACAGACAATTTTCACAGAGCATCACGATCCTCCCACACTTCCACCGTCCAAAGTTTCCCCGATATTTCTCTAAAAGCGTGTCCGACCTTTCAGTCCTCGGGTCCCGAAGGCGCAGGTGTCTCTAAACGTTCTTCTTAACGGATGTGCGGGTGAAGATGGCAAGGCGATAAATAATAAACAACTATTCCCCTAACCTTTGGGTTTTAAATTAGCAAACATGGCTGGTGTGGTCCGGTGCAGCCATGATCACAGAACAGAGCGAACAGGAGCAAATGTCCCAACAATAACTACGTATGCATCCGGTTACATTTGTTCATTAAATTTCACCCAAAAAAAGTAAATAAATAAAACTAAACAAATAAAAAATAAACAAGGACATTAAACTATAAATACAAATAGATAAAAGCTCAAACTTAGCAATTATAATAATAATAACTATTATTATTGATAATTATAATAATATAGCAATTATTATTATTATTAGTCAATACTAACAATAGTATCTGCTATTACAAATAAAAGAATTACCAACCAAATGCACGTAAAACATGAAAAATAGTTCCTTTTTATTATGAAGAATTATAATAATTTTATTGCATTATTATTACAGATGCCTAGAATTGAAGCAGCATTAAAGAGACAAAGTTAAAATAATTTACTACATAATTGCTATGGTTAATTGACATATCTTTTAAGTTAATTTTGTTATGTTATTGTCTTTTTATATATTATTATCATTTGATGATATTTTTTGTTTTTGCAATTTATATTATCTCTATATTGTTCAGATTTAATAATATTAATATATTCCTCTTTTTTTACTTGTGCGTGTTGAATAGCAAGGCTTCTGACATATAATCCTTCCACTATGTAAAGGCATATTTATGATTACTTTAAATGCTTCTAATTCTGATACCTATTGCTTCAATAGTATGTAATAGTATGATCGCAATTAGTATGTGCTTGTGATATTTATCATGTCTGAAACGTGTTGGAGGAAAATAAAAGTAAGTCAATCAAGCAAGAGCTTCATTTAGAGAAGCATAATTGTTATCATTACATCATCATGGTAAATATTATTATTACAATATTATTAACCTTGAGCCTTCCAGTCTTCTTGAGTGGAAAGTTTCACCAGTCATCGTGAAACACTTTCAGGTACATATTTGGCCAGTCATCTTTTAGCTTTATCTCAATCTTTATCTTAATTGACATTCACTTGAAAAACAAAAAAAAGATTCAAAGATTATTAACTTTCAGCAAAGTACGTTTTTAGAAGCTTTTTTCCTCTCTTGACGTTGTACTTGTACCACAGTTTTTGTTATTGCAGAACTCTTTAGTGGGTTTTAATTCACTCATGACTGCCATGTCTCTCTTTCTCTCTCATAAACTTTCTGTATATGAGAGCCACGCTTTTATTTTAATGCGCTTCAGGGTGAAAACAGGAAACTCATGTTGCTTATTACCGTCACCTTCTGCTGAATGACAATCAGTGAGAAATTCAGGCCCGAAGAGGAAGTATGCTAATATTCTGGGCCGAGGAGCCTGAAGGCTTCAGGGTCATAGCGCCGAAATACACAGGGGTAAAAGTTACAGTTACCCCAAATCCTACTCAAGTACAAATACTCCAGTACAAGGTAAATGACGTGTGGGCGTTTTGTATGTTAAAATGATGTAATTATGCGTATCCCATGCCGGCTGATCCCAATACAATTCACTGATGCCCCCTAAAGGTCTTTTATAATATTTCACTAGTTTAGGAAGCTTCACTGCCATCCACCTCCTTTTCTTTGCAGTAAATTATTTAGTGCATCATACACCCAGCAATCATTTTATAGTTGAGCTCTACAATACACACTCACTAACTGCTTTGTTAGATATGTATAGCATCTCATTTTGCCTTCAGAACTGCTTTAATTGCAAAGATTCAGAAAGATGCTGGAAACATTTCTCTGGATTTTGCTCCATATTGACATGATAGGATCACACAGTTACTGGAGATTTATTAGCTGCAAATGATGTGTGTCTCCCGTTTCATCACACCGCCAAAGTTCTCTACTGGACTGAGATCTGATGACTGTGTCATGTTCAAGAAACCAGTTTGAGATGATCTGAGATTTGTGATATGACATGACAGTTAGTACAAAGGAGCCCAAAGTGTGCTATGAAAATGTTCCCCACACCATTACACCACCAGTAGCGACCTGAGCTATTGACATAAGGCAGGATGCATCCATGCTTTCATAGTGTTTATGCCAAATTCTGTGCCATCTGAATGTCATAGCAGGAATCAAGACTCATCAGACCAGGTAATGTTTTCCAGTCTTCTATTGTTCCATTTTGATGAGTCCGTGGGAATTTTAGCCTGTTTCCTGTTCTTAACTAACAGGAGTGGCAACCGTTGTGGTCTTCTGCTGCTACAGTCCATCTGTTTCTAACAGATGTGTTGTTTGTTCAAAGATGCTGTTCTACATTCCTTGGTTGTAACAAGTTATTTGAGTAACTGTTGCGTTCCCATCAGCTCAAAGCAGACTAGCTATTCTCCTTTGACCTCTGGCATCAACAAAGCCATTTCACCCAGACAACTGCCACTGACTATATATTTTCTTTTTCCCGGACCATCACCTAAGATGGTCTGGTGTAATTTTGTTATAGCTAAAACAAAACAAAAAACAAAACTAATGTGAAAAAAACCCAAAAAACATTTTAGATTGCTAAAATTAAATAAGAAAGAAATCTAACTGAAATTATTTTGTGAACTTGGAAAACTAACTAGTTTTAGTCTTTGTCAATTAGGTAAAAAACTGTTGTCACTTCTTGCCTGATGAGTCTTTGATGGAGGTGTTTGGTGAGACTTTGGTTTGCTGGATGTCTACAGCACTGTGAGAGTTAACTGCGTTCAAAAGAAGTTCTACATTTTATTGCAGTATCTGAACAGATTTTCCCAAATCTTGCCTCTCGTATATGTTCTCCATACAGTAATATCAAAAAGAGATTAACTACTAAAAACTAAAGTAAAAGGAAATTTTTTTCCCATACAATAAAAACTGAACTGAAATGACAAAACCCAACCTTGAAACTAACACTCAACTAAAAGGAGAAAAAAAACAAAAAAAGAGTCAAAACAAACTAAAATAAAAATTGGAAAATGCAAAACTACAACTGGTCTGGTTTGATGGTAAGATGGTTATGCAGAAGAATCCCTCGGACCAGGCTGTCTGACACTTAAATCCTCTCATTGTGAAGCTCAGTCTGGACTTCAGCAGGCCATCCTGTGCATATCTACATTCCTGAATGAACTTAATTCCTGCCATGTGATTAGCTTATTGGACATTTGCATTAACAAGCAGTTAAACAGGTTAACCTAATAAAGTGGCAAGCCTATATAGACTGTCATAATTTATTTTCCCCGATGCATTTTCTTTTTGAAAAATCTCATGCATTTATGAAATTTACCTCCCCTCCCAGTCGTCCCCCAAAATTAAACTCAGTCTACTATAGTTGGGCAAAAAACATTCACATTATAAACTTGACAGAGTAGAATTACATCATCCCTGCTGTATTCATTTGCATCAGATTCAAATAAGAGCCCAAATTTGCACAGCCTGAACTTCCAATGATTAGAAGTCGTCCCAAAACTCCGGTGATATTGGCAGGCTAACTCATTAACCCTGACACCTCATATCTAAGAAAACAAAAAGCATTTAAAAATGATTCTTCAACAGTTTATTAGAAAGATGTAGACAATAAAAAAAAGAATCCCCACTCTAATTCAACATTACTGGTCTCCCCTTACAGTTTATTGACAGTGCAAGTATAATTTGGTCATTACATGTCGCCGTATCGTTCAATCACGCTGCGTTTTTCAAGCCTCTTTATCAGCTGCAAAATATGTCAGCTCACTTGTGCAGTCTGACACGAGTGTGCACGTTAGGTGGTATAAAGAGATAGTCCATATGTTGAATTCATTCAGATTAACAAAGTACAGTAGGTGATCACTGGGAAGATGCAAATATGCCTGGAATGAGTTCAGAAAATTCCAATTTTCTTTCTTTTTTTTAAACGAGCATTAAACAAGAAGTAAAGGGAAACATGTAAGTTGGAAGGTTAAGCTACTGAAACAGTCTTCTTGGATCTCTAATTCACCGTACATGAGAGATGCTTGAAGAAGAACCCAATTGGTAAATTTGCCTAATTATTTTCTTTAAAAAAAACAAATCATGAGAAACTACACTGGTCGACTACCTTAAAAACCACAACATTAGGAATGATTGGGCCTAATCAGCTTTGAACCAATTCATTTGAAGACAGACCGTCAATCTCTTTAACACACATTGCTCAGTTGAGGACAACTATACAGTTTTTTTTCCTCCAACAAATAAGGTGTGCTTAGTTGTAATATTTAACAGTAAAACAAGATATCCAAAAGGTGCAGTACAGCAAATGGAAGTGGAGATAGCTGCTCTGTACAATACCATGCATATCAACCTTCAGTGAACTGATTGGTCAAAGGTTTGGAGCTGAGGCTATGGATTTAAATATGGCTACTGACTCATTATGTACAGTTGTTTGTCACTGCCTTCAGTTTCAAGATATACATTTGTTAATAGTCTTCTCTGTTCTGTTCTTCTGTTTTCTCTCCAGAGTTTTATGGTCTTCTACTCCAAATCGGGCATTTCTGAAAGCAAAGTGAAAAGGAGACATTAAAAATTGATTGAAAAAATAAAAATAAATACGGCTATAAGTGTAGATGCTACAGAAGCTCAAACACTTACTCTCATCGTCACTATCTGCAGATTCATCCTGAAAGAGAAAAATAAGAGACCTGTGAAATCGATCTTAGGTTACGTCCACAACCTCTAGTGTCACCAATTAAAATCTCCCTTATCTATAAATATAAGATCAATCAAAGAGATGACTGAAGAGGAGGTCTTACATCATCTGGACCGTCTAGATCAGGTAGGTCATCCTCTCCTCCCATGTTGTTCATCATCTGCAATATAAGATTAGCAATTAAAGCCACATCATTTAAATGCCAACGAGTCGAAGACAGATTGATTTTTTTCCCCTTCTTCCTCATGAGATTAGATTTGAGGCATGCATTAGTCAGTCAAAACAGTTTTGTTTTTTTAAAAGCAGATCCATTATACTTATTCCAGCCCTTTATATGAAAAAAATACATGGTTCTATATTATCTTGGACTCTACCAGAGTACCTTTGCACAATTCATATTCAAAATGATCATTCATATTAAAAAAAACAATAAAAACAATGGGAAGTGGGTGAGTCCAGGGTTACTTTTCCCAACTTCTAGGTGAGCGACTGAAGCGAGTACCAATGAGAGCTGGGGATACTGCTGATTAATGTATGACAGGTTTGTAAATACTTTACAGGGTTACCGAGGCAACTGGAGCCTGGAATGTCCACTAGCAACCAACAGTGACAGACTGATACATGATGAGCAAATCGCTTTCTGGGTGGACGCCCTATATTTATTTAGACTTATCTACTCTTGAATCTTGATGAATTCACTGAGAGAGGTTAAAAACAACTAAAACTGAGTATTTACAGCAGTTTGAAGCTTTGATGTTTAACAAACAGGAGCAACCTGAAAATCTGCTGAACTCATTATTTGAAACTTTGTTTTCAAATAATGAGATTTCTGTTGTTATTAGATACACTAGTAATAAAATAACCTTTCAACCAATTGCACATAGGTGTCACATTTTTAGATTCAGAAAAATGTGCAGATGATGGGAGACTTCAACCTATGCAGATCTGATAAGTAGCATAAAGTAGGGCTGTGCGATATGGCCAAAATCTCATATCCCGATATAAGACATCTATCGTCCGATAACGATATAAATCACAAAAATGTAATATTTTCTGTAAATTCTGTGAATCTCGGGCAGCTCGACTTGCGTGAAGTGTTTCCAGCTGGGCGTCGTGTACTTTGAGTCGAGTGTTTAAACCGATGCATGAAACGATACATTTTTAGACATGAAACTATACATTTTTAGACATAAGTTGTAAGGGCCGCCGTTTTCTTTGTGAGTATTTATTACACGGCGTGCTGCGGGGAAAAGCCTGTTCTAACGTTTGAGTCTAAGGTTTATTTTTTAGCACCTGATGGCTCGTTTTTGCTTCTCATCCATAAATACTCTGCATACTCTTTCACGTGATTCAGTTTATTTTGAAAAGTTTAGTGAGAGCTTTATTGTGGGAGGTTTATGTGGAAAATAAACAAGCGGACACACAATGGTTTTACTGTCGTTGTTGCTAACGACAACGCATAAAAACAGCCGCTTGTCCGTCCATAGTGTGGTTATATTAAATATAAAGAGACAGAGAACTGGAAGAAATTAATATAGCCACTACAGTGACCATCAAAACAGAGAAAGAAATAATGCCGTAACACGAAACAAACGATAGCGTAAAATGAAACGATAGACGCTTTTATATTGTCATCCGATACATATCGTTATATCGAACAGCTCTAGAATAAAGTATGTTGAAGAAGGTCATGTGGGGAAGTAGGTTAAAGTACAGGACTTTTTTACCTGGAAGAGTCGAGACTAGAGTCTGCAAGAAGTCGGCCTAAACCTACTGTTTTTAGGAGGATGACATATGACTGGAAGAGAAAAGAGAGGGCTACTTTCTATGTCTCTGGCATTTGTTGGCTTTAGCTGAGTTTATTTAGACTAAAAAAAATAAAGCAGGGGAAAAAAGTATTTTTGCAGTCAGGTACCCTATATCTGCCTTCAAAGTTGTTTCTTTTGCTGGATCAATTTGAAACTGTCTGTATTAAAGCTTTGTATTAGCCTCACTACGTGAAAAGTGTTTTTTAATTAAGTATTTTTCAAATATAAAGTATGATTTTATCAAAGTGCTTACATCTGAGAATTGATCGAAGTTGCCCATCTCCTCATCTGAGTCGTCCTCCCAGTCTTTCCAGTTGTTAAAGTCGACACTGAGCCAACTCAGCTGTGGAAACAAAGTCAACATTTTCTTTAAAAATTGCTGTCGTTGCTTAAATTTGAATATTTTTCAGATGTCCTCACGTGTAGCAGACCTTCGCCTTCTCTTTCGTTAGCCTCGGCCACGCCTTCCCTGGCTGCGCTTTTCGTAGATAGCACAACACTGAGCGGTCTGTGCGTTTGTGTTTGGATTCCTGGGTCGAGGTTTAAACAGAGCACAGAAACAAATGCGGTCACTCCAGCGTTGTGTGCAGTGAATAAATGTTTTATAGCATTTTTGAAAGCGGTCAGTACAACTTACATTTTCATCAATGGCATCGAAAAGGTCTATTTCATTCTCGTGCTTCACATTGTCAGTTCCTCCAAGACAGCTGCAAGGAACAAAGACACATACTCACTATAAATATACCATATAAGAGATGGTCCAACAAGAAATGTACAGATAAATGTAGCCAGAATTAGGAAAACTCACCTGAAACCACACTTTGTTTTATCGAAATTGACCTTAACATCTTTGCTGTCTGCTACACAGAACTCTATAAAAACAGAGTCCCTCCTGTCGTACCACTTGGCAGTCGCTGGATGCCTTTAAGAAAATGTAGGACATGAGAAAAGAAGAAAAAGCATGCAACTCACTTTTATCCTTTAAAAGTTCAGCTTTTCAAGCCTTCAAAAACAACTTCAATGAAAAAAAACAAACACACAATAAATAATCTGAGTGCTGGTGAAGAGACAAGACAGCCTGTTATCAAACCTCCTTTGTGTGAGGTTGCTGTAAAGAGCATCGAGTTACACACACTGCTCCAGTATCAAGAGTGAAACATCTGTGGATACTAAACTGTGACAAGTCACATTTACAAGCTGTTGTGGATGGGGGGGCCCCTTCTCAAATTTTCCTTTTAACTTTTAAGTCTTTAGGGTATAATGTGAGCCAGTGTTGCTAACTTTACTTAATGTGATCTAGTAGCATGACAAGTTCTGAAAAGCTCATCTCTAACTTTGAACATGAGGGATGAACAGAAAAGCCATGTGCTTTTTTTTTTTTTTTTTTTAACCCAATGGATAAAAATTAAATGATGGGTATATTTGGCTTCATTACCACACACTTCCACCTCAAGTAATTTTACAAAACACATGCATGAGCCTGGCTGACCTGCATCCATTAATTAATTGGTCTTTGCATGGAAGCTACAGGTATGTTTACTGCTCTCTTAGCATTGTGGTGACTGTCTCATTAGATAAATCCTCTTACAAATCCTCAATGCAGTGTGGGGTAGCTAGCTTTAAACATCGTTACAGCCCAAACAAAACCACTGATGGAGTCTGTTTTTCTTTACAAATCTGAAATCTTGACGCAGATCGGATGCTAATCTGATCTTAGCCTTCCAGAAGTCTTAATGAAGCCTCCTGTAGCCAAGCTAACAGCGGTGCCGCTACGCTAGTCATGCCATGCGGTACACCTGACCCATGCTACAGCTAAAAGAAACCGACTCTTTCGCCAATGAAGGATAAAGGAGTCTGCTATATTAGCCTTGCCGATGCACTGTGAGGTTTTACCCGGTTTGTAAGGCAGCGAGTCACGCGGAGTCCCTACTTCATTGAGGCCATGCCACCCTCCCGCCTTTCCAACAGCATGTTTCAAGCTGCTAAAGCTAGCTAATCATTCAGCCTGTACTATCGCACTTTCCCTCCACTGCGCCTTTACGTACGCTCCCCACAACTTACATGTCTTGGTGTGAAGTGAATTTCTTTATCACAGATAAAACAGCCTCGTGAAAAAGATCAGTGGCGCCTGTAAAACAAGAAGGAATGCCGCCCAACACACGGCCAAAGCAAACGCCTCTAGCCCCTGGACTCTACTCCGGATCTTATTGCGTATCCCAGGAACGGAATAGCAGTGCTGACGCACTCCGAGCGCACTAGACGTTTCTAGAGCTTTCAGCCACAGCTGCGAGTGACGTGAGAGAGGGCAACTACTGTGGCAAGTCACTACAACCTGACTCCGGTCCGAATACCTCAAACGGTTTACCCAGGCTTATGAAGCTGCAGGATCCTTGTAGTATGTAACTGCAACTAGCAACTCAAATGCATGCAAAAATATAAATACAGATAGATCCATAAGTATTTTACTCTGACGGGTTTTTTTGTTTTGTTTTTAATGATTTATTTTTATTTTGCCACCACAGTTGTTTTTAAATCAAGCAAGATGTAGCTCACTTTCAGGTTTAATTTAAGTGGTTTAAATGAATAAATATTTAAAAAGAAAAAGTGTCTAAACACCTACGGACCTAATATCCCGACAATTTTACTTATAATATAAAACACTTGAGCACATATAATCTGTGTTAATATGTGCTCAAGTGAAAATAAAACAGACGGAAAATAAATACAATATAAAATATAGAATTAAAACATGTAAAAGGACATGAATAGTTTTAGTATGAAGTTTTCTTTTTTTTTTACCAACCTGGTGGCAGTGTCAAACCCACAACCAGTTCTAAGTATTTCCACAAAAAAGCCCCCCAAAACTGCAAAAGAACAGCAACACACAATTTTGTTAAGAAGTTTTTATTATTTTACTTAAAAAAAGACTAAAAGATAAATAATACATAATGAGTTTTTGTTTTTTGTAAACGGTGAACACCGAGTACGGCAGTCAAAGAAGTAAAGCAGGGTTTGAAGCCATCGACCTTTTCAAAGAATGATCAGAAGTTGATAACACAGTCTAGAAAACTGGATACTGGTTGCAACATTATATCAAATACATTACATTCCAACATGTTTTTCTGTTTATAAAGTCTTGCATATAAATCACAGCTGGGAAAAGAAAGCAGGTAAAATAAACGTGTTTTATTGAAAAAGTGGAACCATTGACGTCACCCATCATGGGAAGGGCTACCACAAGAAATTCACCAATGATTGGCTACTCACGAATTATCCGGTTTCTGCTCATAATACCCTGTAATAATCGGTTCTCAAATATGTCCAAATGCGTTCTACTTCACATGTAGAAATTGTTCAACAGTAGCACAAGCACTGGGACTGTGCTGCTGGAAAAGCAGTTAAGTCTGTAGTTATCCTGTGATGTACAGATAGTTTATGTAATGGGAAAAAAACAAGCACCATGGAGCACCATTAACCCAAAAGGTGTTTTGATGATGGCCGTGAAAAGCTAACACCTCACTCTGAAATCTCCCATAGGTGCTCAGCTGGGTGGAAATCTGGATGTGGCTGTGTGGCTGAAAACATAGTCTCCCTGGAGTCACATCCACCTTTTGCCCATCGCCAGCATGACCTTGGCTCCACAGTTGGTGAATAACAGTGCCAGGATGGTACAGTACCATTGTGGGATTTGTTTAGAATTTTTGTATAAGCCATATATATGAGAGCAATCACAGTGTCTTACTCAGTCTTTGTGCAAAGCTGTATCAAGATTGGTCTACTCGTCTAGGGGAAGATAGGGAACATGCAAACATGTGCTATGATCATGAAAGGGATGTTTTCAACTTGCTTTTCAAACATGCACTTTCCTCTCAAATTATGCAGCCTTTCTCTCAGTTAAAAAAAAGCCTTTGGAACTTTATCAGGTTATAATTTCTGTATTTAACCTTGTATGGGATTAATCTTTCAAACCTAGTTTACTTTCATTACATACCCTAAATGTAGGTTTGTTTCTAACAAACTATAATAAAAACATGTTTAGTTTTTAAGAAAGCTTGATTTTAAAAACATTAACACAATATTAGAATTGTCTTTGATTTTTTATTACGCATCTTTTTACATTGATGTAACTTATACATGGCTCCTAGAACTAATGATTTTGTATATTTTAATTTTAGTCTTTAAATAGTTAAAAATGTTGTCAGTGCAAGATCACCAGTTAGGTAACTTGATATGAATCTCTTGTTCCACCACATTCCTGAGGTGCTGTACTGGGTTGTTATCTTGTGATTGTGGAGGCCATTACTGTGGTGAATGTACTGTTCACCACACTAATGGTTTAAAAAAAAAAAAAAAAAAAAAA